GATGAGTAGTGTATGATGAGTGGTGTGTGATGAGTGGTGTATGATGACTGGTGTGTGATGAGTGGTGTATGATGAGTGGTGTATGATGAGTGGTGGTTGAACAGCTGTTGAATGTCCGTAACACGGAAGTTTTGCACACTAAACTTCCTTTGATGAACTGAGTTTGTTGTTCACTTGCCACTCGTGGCCGAGGTGCATTACCATCAACGGACACTTCTCACAGCATTGGGCGGAGGCCACTTTTGGGGACGAAAGCTTCCGCCACGGATCCTGGTCGACTGGGAAGCCACTGGGAGCGCCTGGTAGCTTCTTGCTCCTAGTAGTGAGGCCAGGAGCCCCCAGTAGCGTCCTTGCTCTAGTAGCGATGCCCTTTGCATCCCTTTGCTCCTAGGATGGAACAGTTTTTTTTTAGAAGTGGGAATGGTCCGAAACAAAATGGAATAGCCACAGACCCGGATGAATTTTGGCCACAGACCCTGAGGAACGGCCGACAAGTCACAAATTGAGATGCTGCTTTGCCAAGTGGGCGGTAATTACAAAGTCAGTTATGGTTGCAAGAACTGTGAATTTTAGGCCATGTGGCATTAATTATATAGATGATGTCCTCGGAATATAGACATGTGTTGATTCGAAAGCGCCCTTTTCTTGAACCCTGTCTACATCTCCATACCAGGGTCACCATGAAGCACCAACGATTTAGCCTCCAAGTTCGGAGCGACAGGGAATGGACAATCATGGAACCCCTTTCTGGAAGTGCCTTACTACTAGTAACAAGTTACGAATTTAAATTGTAATTACTAGCTTCTTGTTACTACTAGTAAGGCACCTGTTACTACTAGCGAGGCACTTGTTACTACTAGGGAGAAGTGGTCGTATTTTTCCTTTTCGTTGCCGCTTGCACGTTGAGCGGGACCAGGTCCTAGCCCCAGGAGAAGAGGCGGGCTCAGCAATCGAGTGGCAAAACAGCTGGGAGGGTCTTTGCGGGATATGACCACATCGGCCTCCAATCATGGGAAAAACCCGGGAGCAGCTGCCACGCGGCTTGGCGGCTTGGTTTGGCAACTGCTCATGATATACCCTCAACCTTAGCATATCTTTATCTTTTTGTTTCAGGGGTAGGGTTACCTATCTAATCATTTTCCAACCAATTCAGGCTTTAACAACGGTTGAATTTCATCAAGCGTGTTTTTTTATTGGCACGCATGGCGTGCAAAGTAGATGGGTCACAAAGCAGTGATTGCTCTGATAGAATTTCTGAGGATGGTTGGTTTGCCAAGTGGATGGACGCGCAAAAGCAGGGCTTGTTCTGATTAGGTTTGCCTGGGCAGTTGGCTTGCAAGGAGGATGGACAGCTCTGATAAGTTTCTCAGGACAAGGCGCCTTGCAAAACATTTTGCACCAGCAGAAGCATTTTTCAGGTCCAGTGTGCCTTCTATTTTCCTCCCCTCCTGCCCCTCAGTTCTTGCTCCCGCTCTTCCTCCCCAACTCTTGTTCCCAGCTGCCGTCGCATTCGACGGATTCGGATTCAAGTCCAATGACACATAGTTGGAGCGTTTGAGTGCTTCCAGTCAATTGAGATGCTCCACGTTGTTGGGTTGGCATAGCTGGGTCAATTTGCTCCTAACAGCAGAACGCAGTTTTTCTCCGTCCGAGCACTGGAATTTGCAGGAGGATGGACAACCTCCTTTTCATACCCCTACTCTACCCTCTTTGGGTTTAGACCCATTGTGGACCCATTGGTGGAGCACATGTCTTTCCTAGAGGCTGCAGGTTGCCGCTGCTGTATTGTGTCGCAAGCTCGTCTCCATTGCTTGCTTATTTTCTTGCCTGTCTGCCCTCGTGATGTGTGGCTTGACTCCCTTGTGTGATTTGCGGCTTGCCTGCCGCTTCCATCCTGTCTGCCCAGCATGTCTCTGGTCCCCGTACTTGTCGCTTGCGTGCGGGAGCAAAATGGATCAAAACGGTATGTGGAGCATGCAATTAAACAACACAGCGTTGAAACTTGAACATTTTTTCAACTACTTGGGTTGGTTCAGAAAGCAATTAATACCTACCTGTCAGCTATATTGCCTGGATGCTGGTCTCCTGGTATCTTCCGCCAATTGAGACCAAGTGGACAATCCTATGCTGTTTCACCACTCCACTGGCCCACCATGTGCAAAAATATACATTCATTTTGACGAAGGAATGAGCATCGTATACAGCACAATCATGTACTGTAGAATTACAACGGCAACAAAGTCGGTTCAATGTAAATGATGTCCACAACACTAAATATATATGCAATAGTATGCAATGCTCCAGATTCAGGGGGCCCGGACACTATGGAGGGGGGTTGTCATGCCGGTCGTTGAGTTCTTGTATGTCAGCGCAGCGCAGCCCCCATCTATGCCCCCTTTTGGGTGACACGTACTCCGCCTTCACGACGCGTTCATCGCTTTGGGTTGGTCCCCACGTGTTGAACGCCGGCTGTTCGCATCGGCGCGGGTGGTGCGTGGAACGCGGCGCCAGGCATGCGAGTCGATCCAGTTTGTGGCTGGCTTGGCGCTGCGGGGTTCCGAGGCGAGCGCTTTTGGCGCGCCTGCGTCAGAGAAGGAACCCTTCAGTGGCTTGCAATGTCAGGGCCGGCCTATACCTACCAACAGGCAATGCCAACCTCCTGATGAACCCCGGGTGGAGATGGTTTTCAATCGTGAGTCTTTTGGGAGGTTCGTTTAGTGACCAAATGTCAACACATCACAGAGGCCAACCGACCTTCCCTCAACAGAGGTCATTCACATCCTTCGTTTCAACTCAGATGCAATGTGGTCCAACAAGAAAAGTATCCCGATGTCAACGTTCTTTCGGTATTGATAGTATTGTTCAGGTTGTTCTTCGGGGAAACATTAATTAAGCAATTGCAATGGATTTTCTTGGCCCCTTACATCGCGTTCAATGTTTTCGGTATCCACCAGGTGGTGGTGAGTTACGGCATCAATGACTGTGAGTCCGACTTGCTGCCGCTACCTCTTTCGGAGGCTCGGCGTCTTCTTTGGCGCGTCCTGGTGTTTGAGGGACGGTCAACTGCAAATCATAACAGTCTCTGAAGAGGTCTGGAAGCAATGAACCCCGAGGACTTCACTTTGCGAAACCTGGTGATGCTAGAGAAACACGTCCATAACAAAACGATCTCAGAAGAGGTGGCACATACCCAAATCCAGTTGCTGGCGTACATAAGGATCCTGATCTAAACATGTCTACTCTGAACCATATGAAACCACTGCTCTCCAACAGACAGTATGAACATGACTTGAACATGCCTTTACACACGCTGGGTAGAAAGGCCGGGGGCGCGATTTTCACGGGCGCCCGCCCGCGATTCGGACGAAGAAGAGGTTTTGCGACATCCGCAGGTCGTGGCGATGCTGAAGCCTGTGAGGTCCGCAGTGAATGTCTCACTGGATGAGTTGGAGATGATCTAGAAAGAATCAAGGGACGGGTAAGTGGAATATGGGTTGTTGATGCTTGTTGGTAACGGCATGTTTTCTTTTTTACACTTGAAATGCTTTTGGCCGGTGCATCTTGGGAGAAAGTACCATGCTTGGTTGAACGAACAACAAGACAGACCCCGGAATAGTTGAAGAACACAATGTGTACTGGTGGATAGTGTTTAGATGTGTTTAGTTTTTTTGTGAAAGAAGCACCCATAAGGCCCTCACCTACCTATTTCGGGCAAGATAAACGCAAAGGAGTATCTCCAGAAGAACCAGGGAAATGGAGAGAACATTGTTGTGCATCGCCTGTATACGGATTTCTTCTTGTTTCTGTTTGTTCCATGGCTTTCCCTCTCAAAACCAGTCGCTTTCTGCATGCGAGAACTGACGCCCGGGGTGTGTATCGATTTGGTGAACAAGAAACAGATTCTGAGAATGTTTGAACAAGGAGTTCATTCCGAGAAGCATTTCATATCTCGTGTTTCTTCTTTGGTGAGCTTCTTGATTGTATGGAGGAATCTGAATCCCAAAGACAACATTTATAAACCGTTTATAAAGACAGGTGTTCTTGCCGCTGCCGCTGAGAAAACCGGAGTCTCACCGGTGGAAGTGCGAAAGAGCACCCACCGTCCGGCCGGGATGGGCCTTGTTAAGGATCCAACACAGACAAGGCATTGCAGAAAGAGTTCATCGAAGTGTGGAACAGTGAAGAGCACAGCAGCACCATAAAGCACCTAAGAGAGGATTCAACGGGATTTCTTTAGAATCTGTCACACACGGGCGTTGAGGAGTTTTCTTGTTTTTTCTCGCCGTAGAAGAGATACAAGTTGATCGTTCTCACTGAAAACCCAACCAACGCCCGCATTCAAAGACCATTTTCGTGAGCCAATCGATCGGCCTCCGAGCGTCTGTACAAAGACTTTCGCGACTGCCCATGAGCGGCAAAGTGGAGGCCCGGTCCGGGAGGTCTGGGAGACTCCTCGTGGGGCGAGGAGAATTCGGACGTTTTTCTTTTTTGACATGCTGCCTCAGAAAGAAAAGAAGATCCAGCATGCGAATGCTTCGCAGACTGAGGGATTTCTTTTGTCAACCGATCAATCCGTCTGAGGCACATCTTGGCACACGAGGGTGCCGTCCGAGGGGTCGAATCCAGCGGGTGGACTATGGTGGACTCCAGGACTGTCGTGGAATCTTGCAAGAATGTTGAACTCCAGTCCTTTCTGAACATGAACAACATCGTTGACATGGCTTATATATCTTGGCTGCTTTTTTCGGATTCCATGCTCGTTTTCTGGTGGAAGACGGACTGGAAGATGAACCTGCCCCCAATTCGTGAGATGTGAGGCCGATGTGATGGAGCACTTGTTGGACACAGCACCTCCGCACGGATCCCCAGCGGTCTGCGAAAGCGCGCCAACGTCCTGCGAAGGGTCGTTTTTTCTTTGGTTTTCTCAAGCTTGCGTTCGAGACAGGGACGTCCAAGATGGGACGGGATCGGGGTCGGCCTGTCAGGGTTGTGGTAGACTCATCAAATGCTTTGGCTTGCTTGGTTGCAAGCGATCTTAATTGCATCGATTCGATGTCCAACTCTGAAGGACCGGGGCTCAACAACGAGACATTCGATGTGGAATGGGCGGAGTTTTTGGATGGCTGATAAGGTGTAGCTACCTTGGCGGCTGATACACGCATGAGGTGGAACCAGTCAGACTGACCACCCCTAGCCCTAGCCCATAGCCGCCATAGCCAGTTGAGCCGAGTGAAGTAGATGCCTTAAAATCCACTCTGATTCCAAGTGAAAGGGCCAGGCGACGGCGACAGGATTGAGCATTTGGTTTCATCATATCTTATGCGTTATGCTGGGAACCTGCCAAACATCATCACCCAAAGTTTACTTGGAATCAACCAGACACACCCGAGAAACCATTGCAGTAAGAAACCATTGCAGACGGCCAAGTAGTGTTTTTTTTCAACTGCCGCCCCGAGTTTAGACCTTAAACCGGAATGCCGCAGCTTAAGCCGGATGCCGCAGGTTTCTGGAAGACACCGCTGAAGTGATGCGACTGAAGGAGCAGGCAGCGGGACCCGGGACCCACGAGGCGAAACGGCTGGGGGTTCTCGGAGTCGAGACGAGGTGGCAGACCAGCCGAGACCAGCCGAGCCGAAACACGCACGGACTTCGCCGAAGAATTCGGTCATTTTGACTTCAAAGAAGAGTCAGGAGTAGGACACAAATGTGTCGCAAGGGTCACTGGAACCTTTCCAGAACTTCTTGGTCGGAATTCATTGATAGGGACTCCGTCGCCCAACTCTTTTTCTGCCAGGTGAGGGAGCTGCGTGTAGAGCTGGAGGCCAAGGAGTCTCAGAACCAAGAGCTCATGGCCATTGCTGAGCACGTGCGCGCACAGGCGGCTGCGACACGTACACGTGCGGCTGTTTCTCGGGAGTTCTGCGTAGAACTGGAGCCGGGTGGAGAGAGCGGTGTAGTTTGTGGGGAAGGACGTCGCGCTGCGCCGTGTGGTTGGTGTTCTGAGTTTGTAACTTTTGGCAAACATGGGTTTGAGCTGGCCGCTGGCCATTCAAAGAAGAGTATACTGGGCCAAGGCATTTGCTTAGGCTTGATACATTCAAGGGTTTGTGGGTGGTTTCGATGGAAATCCCAAACAATCCCAAACACCTTTCTTCTTCTTCCTCCTTCTTTTTGGTTTCAACGCTCCATGAGGAGCATCGACTCCTTCGATGCTTTGCGGCGCGAGATCTACGCACGTCCGACCCATGTCCTGTGCAGGAAGATGCCCGAAAGCATGCTGAGGAGCTGAGGGTCCTGAGAAATCCGTGAGGAATCTGAAGATCTAAGTGTTCACTCGTCTGGATCCCAACCTCTGACGGAAACTGAGGTCATTTCAAGTTATTTCTATAATGATCTTCATGAATTCTTACCGTGGTTTCTACGGTTGTCTCCAAAAAGACTTGCGACTTGCACAGCTATCAAGAACCGTCCTTGAGGAACATGAAGGAACCGTCCGTACGAGAAGCATCCCACCGTCCTAGATGCTACCGCCTGCCTCGTTTCTCCTCGTACCATGTGGGGCGCCCAATCAAACCCCCCGTGGTCGTGAGAGCCCATATTGAAGCCCGGTCGCACGCTTGCTGGGTCGCACCCCAGACGAACACTGACTGTGGAACATGCGAGTGAAGCAAGAAAAAACGAGTGGTCAGTGGTCGTTCAGGTGTCATACCATCGTACCTTCAACGAATTACAACATCCAAGAAATGCCACCGCTCCCGCGGGATTGTTCTGGGTGGGTGCAGTGGTGCGAGGCCGAGCCCGTTGGATGAACATGGAGTCTACATGAGTCTACGGTTATGATGCAGATGGGGAGCTGACGCAATCCAGCAAATCTCGAATACTGTAGTTGGATGTAGTTTGTATACGAACTATTATAATCTACATATTAATATCTATTATATATATATAGGAGAAAGGAATCCTGCAACTGGGCACCTTGGTTATTTGCTCCGCTACGACGTGTTGTCGCGTGCACTCACCGGCCCTGCCCGCTGGTGTCTCGCTCGATTTGACCCGCGTGTTTTTTGGGGACTGCAATCATGGGGTATGAGCGGGTGTGAGCTACAGCTAAAATTATTGCATGCTTGTAATAGCAGCAGCGTGTATGAGCCCCGCATAGTACTACCGCCAAATACTACAAAACCATGTCCACTTTGTGTAACTATGGGTAGTGCCAGGACGAACACTGTATGAAGACCTACCGCATGGCAACTCTGCATGAGTTCTGCAAGCGGAGGTGGCCGCGGTGGCCTGCAACGCCCCACACTTATATATGGAGTTTTGTGTTTCAATGGTAGGAAAACATCAAAGGATCAAAAGGCAAAAGCAATGTTGCTAAGAGAACGCCACATGCTGGTCCCTCCCAACCAACTAGGCCAGGCATGATTGAGGTTTTGGGTTTTTGAATGTTTTTGGTGTTCGGTTGGCAAACCGTCGGGAAGCGTTTTTGTTCAGAACTTCACTTTTTGGACGTGTGGACGGGGGATGTTTTCTACGAGGAGAAGTTGAAGATGGCCCAACAAGCTGCCCAAGCGGATGCCGCTGGGTGCCTAGCGGGGAGAAAGCCACTCTGTGAAGGGGAGTGACATTGCACAAAAATAAAAGACAACCACTGGCCCCGATCACAGCATGTTGTTATCGACCATCATACCAGCAGCAGCAGCAGCAGCCGCAGCCATTAGCCATCAGCCAAGTAGCCTTTTTACAAGAGATTCATGCTGCCGCCCGAGGCGGAGAAGGACCGCCGTTACGCAGAGCTTTTCCACATGGTGTGCCAGGTGGGTGGGATTCGACATCCACATTTGCACTGATATGACTTTGTGCAAAGCTCGAGTCCACAAGAAGCTACTAAGGGCTCTGGCATCGCTACTAGGAGCAAGGACGCTAGAAGGGGCTCCTGGCCGTACTACTAGGAGCAAGGACGCTAGTAGGGGCTTTTTCATCACTGTGGAATGAGAACTGATCAATTGAACCTGAAGGCACCGTGATCTTTGAATGCTGTTGCGTCGGGGAAAGCCAAAAGTAGAGAGGTCCCTGCATTCAAGGACTTGCAATATAAACCTGCCAGGTGATTCATCCTGTTTTGAAGACTCTATACAGTGCAGAGTTTCCAGGAAACATGGGTACGTGCCAAAACTCATGGGTCGTGCATCGATGAAAGATGTATTGAAGACTTTGGTTTTTTGACACGTTCTCCAGGTCAAGATGTATGGTACGGGTTGTAGCCGTGCCCAAACACCTCGAGGGAGTGCCGGCGTCCCCCGCCCGGGCTCGCCGGCAGCCGCGCGCCAGGTGGACCGGGAAGTGGCGGCGCGCCGCACGGCTGAACAGCGCTTGGAGCCCGGAGAGCCCAGAGTGGAGAGCCCGGAGCGGGCGGGACAGCGGAGAGCACGAGGGGGATGAAGACCACAGCATCGGTGGCCCCACAAAGAGGGGTGGTTCCAGAAGGAAGAGATGAACAGAACAACTTGTCATTGTAGATTATATACCTTTTTTGAAAGTGGACTCTTCTTTCGTGGTGGGGAAGGGAATAGTATACAGACACTGCACACTATGACAAACTATGTGTCATGCAGCGGGCGTTGGGCATCGACTGCCTTGTTCAAGTGGAATCCACTCTGAACAGTTTCTTGCTCCAAAGGTTAGATTCGGTTAGATGTTCCCATTTACATACATCAATTTCACCAAACAATTGTTGTCTCATATTTGCAATCTCACCGTCATTTCATGTCATTTCACTTGCCACTCCTGTCCCATAGCAGTGGACAATTAGCTTCGTTTCTTTTTAAGTAGAGGTCATCCTCCTCATCCACTTCTCCTTCAGGCCTGGCCTGGAGGGCCCTCATGTTTGACATCTCATCCCTTTCCGCTCAGGGTCACATCGGCTTCAGCCCGGCAGGCCTGGAAAACAACGACTCGGGAGGGGTCGGGGGAAGACGCGCGGCCTGAAAAAGACAGATGTGGATGGATCATAATGGATCCTTCTTTTTTCAGAATTGATTCTTTTTGGCGAATGATGCCATTGATTGAACTCTTAGCTTTGCATCGTTTTTTCCCTCCACCTTGAGGCAGTGGCCAAGGCCACCGAAGAGGCCCTTCGGTCCGAAGCCAAGGCCAACGAGGTGCGGTTCCGGCTTTGGGAGTCCACGAGCGTCGCAACGTGTGTCGAACCTTCCAGGCTGAGGAGCGAGCCCAAGTGGCCGAGGCGCGGGGGCTCCATGCACCGAGCATCGTGGAACGGAATGGTGCGAACAGTCTCATCACTGTTGAGGGCTTTTGATTGTTGGGTACCGGGTATGTTCAAGTTGGATCCACTCCTGGTATGCTAGAAGGCAGCTAGCAGCGTTTTCTTTCTTGTTCTGGCAGGTGTCGGATGTTTTGTCCAACCAGCGAGATCTCGCCCGTTCGAACTTGAGTCTTTCGGGGGGGTCGGTATGGCTCGGTGGCGACAAACATTGGTAGCGGGGTGCGCCCATATGATCCACATTTGATTTGGTTTGTTACACCGATGAGGGAGTTGATCTCATCAGATATCAATGCGTTGTCCCATCCACTTCTATCAGTAAACTGCGCTGGCATCCAGCGGGTCATCGAGATCGCATTTTCCCTAGTTGAAGCATGCTGGTGCTAAAGCTGCTAAAGCTCGTGTTGCATCGCCCCTAGGGAAACCCAGTCTGATTCATAGGATACGTTGGATAAGTCACCACCTGAACTTGGGACTCCCAGAAGGTCGAGTGGCTGTTCAACCAACTGATTTCAAGATTGCCCATTACAACCCTATTGAGTCCAATTGAGCTCTCACCGCGACGCAGTGTCTTTGGTGGGCGAAAGATGAACAAACCACCCGCAAGAACACCCTGGGAAACTCTTTTTCAGAATGATTTCAAAGCCTGCACACAGGTGTCCCTTTCACCAGAAGGAAAACACACGACCCTTGGAAAGCAAACCTGCTTTGGGGGACCGTGGTCACCGTGGCCTCAGGAGGCACAGCTTCAGCTACAGGCCAGGCGTCGAAGCGGTGTCTGACGGGCCTTTCATGTCATGAGATGCCCACAGCCCAGGACTCGACTCCCTGCACATTGGAATCATCAGCTTGCGAGATCAAGATCACTGGAAAGTACCATCAAACAACTCTTCTCTCATGCCTGTTTCCTCCTTTTGAGAACTGGAAAATCAATGAACATCCTGTTTCCCAAGAAGCCAGTTGTCACTAGAGGTCCAGTTGCCACTCTTGGTTCCAATCTCAGCTCCCATCCGGAGCCTTCATCGCTTCATCGACAACACAGGCACGCTTGAGCGAGAAGGAGGCACAGCTAGTGCCGCTCAGGTCTCAGTTGGCCAAGGCGAACTGCTGTCCGAGAGCTTTGGTCGGGTACAGAACATTCCGTTGGTGCCACCAGTGGTGGTCCCACAAAGGTGAGTCTTAGGTAGGGGGTGTTTGGGGGCAGTCAAGAGCGGTCTTGCATCATGCACCAATCAAAGGTACCGGCCAGCTTTTTAAGCCGAAATCGGAGGCCTCCGCTGCGGCCAGCGAGCATCGGATCTTGAACAACTCCTTGCAAGAGCAGTTGGAGTTGGTCCGGCGCCCGGAACGAACCGAAAGGTCAGGGAACGAGCTCAGTTGTTCAAGGAAAGGTGCAGGGTATCTGGTCGATGGTGGAAGAATGTGGAAGATAGATTGGCCAGTTATTGGTGTGATTGGATTGAATCTTTAGAAGGGTGCTCAACTCTTCGCAACTTCCGGACGGGGTCTAGAGTCTAGAACATTCGGGAACCCCATTCAGTCAGCAACAGCGGAGACCTGTTTGAGGCTCCAACTGATTGGTCGAGTAACACCCATGCTTCGCTTGGGAAGCCATAGGAAAAGGCTTGTTTCTGCTCAAGCTTGTGACACATGTGACAGGACTTCCTCCAAAAAATGCGTGCGCATTTTCCGATTTTCGCGTCATATCAATTGCGTCCCGACGCAAACAAACTGTGTTTCATGTAATCCAGACTCAACATACCTCAGCCCTGGCCCAGCAGCCCAGTTCCACCGCTGCAGGTGGTGAAGACCTCTGAGGCGCGGGCTGCCAGCTGTGCAGAGGCCAAGGCGAAGCTGCAGCGTGCCGAGCAGCAGACGGACTTCGCCCGGAAGGCGGAGACCACGGCGGTGAAGCCATGAAAGGGTGGTGAAGTAGGTGGGATGGACCATGTGTGGAGCTGGGGGGGATAGGGATGGATAGGTGGACGAATCCGGCGACCTGATTCCATACCAAATTATCCCAAGCAAGTCCTCAGTCTCTTCATTGAGCTGCCTGGCTTTGGGCAGGAGTGACCAGTGATCACCGTTTGGTCAAGACGCGAGTGCTTCAGGAAGCCGAGCTCTTGTCCGGCCGCATCACGGACTTGGAGAAGGAGCTTTGTAGTCCGGGTCGTTCTTTTTTACTGCGAAAGTCAATTTGGACCAGAGCCCAACAGAAAAGCACCTTGCAGGGATATATTATATATTTCAATCATTGACATAGGTTCAATAGATCAACATAACTCAACGAAGCGTTTTTCAACACGTGGAAAGTTTCAATTACCTGAAATGGCATTGACTTTTCTACATACTTTTTCTATGTTTTGTCACAATAGCTGGGACATCAGCGGCGCACTAGCGAGTCCCCCTGAGCAGTGTGCGGTCTTATGACACATTGGGCCTTTGATCTCTTTGCCCCCGGCCCCAGGTCTTTTGCAAAGGAACTGATCCAACCGGTCCTGAGATTTTTAGCTTTATGGGGAGATGTCGCCAATCATGTCACCAATTCTGTTTATAGGAGCGTGACGATCTCACAGAGCAACTGGAGCTTTCCCAGAGGGACTATGCTGAACTGCAGAAGGCTGGAACCGACACGTGTTGGGAAGCGCCGGATTTCCGACCCGACACCCGTCGTGTGTCACTGTCACATACTGTCACTCTATATCACTTGATATTTAGATGATTGGATACCCTCCCAACATGCTGAAGTTTCGAATGCAGATCTTTGCTTTCCCACTCTCTCCCCTCTCTCTCTCTCTGTGTCTCTCTCCGAGGCCTACGATGAGGCGGGTGGTGCCCTTTGCGAGCGCTTCGGCGAGGCCCGGGAACCAAACGGGTTCAAACACCTGAGCCACGCAACCTGGCAACTAATTCCAAGGGCAACAAATTCCAATGTTTCCAAGGTTTCAAGGGCCAGGTATTTTTTTCTGGGAGAAAAAGGGCCAATCCCCTGGCGCAACCAAAAAGATCCAAAAAGCCAAGCAGGAAACCGGTTGCGAGTCTAGACGGGCAGACGGAAGGCCCTTCCCCCGCGTTTCGATCTTCGAAAACGAAGCAAGATTTTATTTTCGCCAGGCCAATCGCAATAAAGAGATCGCCACAGAGCCCAGGGACGAAGCGACGGGGCGGACAAGGGACAGGGATGACCATGGTTGACCGAGCTGGATGCTTGGCAGTATCAGTGAATCTGACTTTAAGTATCTAGAACTTTCTAGAACCATCTACCCCTGTACTGATCCATGTAACCATGTATGTAACAATGTAATACATTGACATGTATGATGGTAATAACTATCGTATAGTTATAATATATATATATATATATACAGACATGTAATATCATATATTATATATATGGCATGCAGGGCCACAGCAGTGAGAACTTCCCTAAGTATCCCCAAGTGACCTTCACTTCAACAATCAGTAGCCAAACCATGTCCCAGTTTCATGAGGGAATGAAGTACTATTTGCCATCAGCGACAAGTAGAAACCCGCGGAAACCACGTTCAACTTTGAAACTAATCGACAAAAGAACCCATGAAGAACTGCACGTTGGCAAATGCAAAACACATGGCGAATCCAACGGGCTCTTCATTCGTTTCGAAGACGCCCAGCGCCGCATTTTTGGCTCCCGGCTACGCCATGCGAAGCCCGATCTTGGCGCGGAAACCCATGCCGAGGTGGACACCCTCCGAGGAGACCTCGAGGTGGGGAACGAAGGGAGTCGACTCCAGGGACGGCAGGTACTCGAGGTGGTTAGACAAGGAGATGGAGGGTTGGGGGTAGCCTTGGGAAATTAATCCACTATGGGAACACAGTGTGGATCCATTTTTTGGGGGGATTCATTTTTTAGGATCAATTTTCAGCAAGAAGACTCGATAGGGTAGGCGCCCACCATGGATGGGACTCCAATCGCAGCAGTGATTGTTCGATGGTTTCGCAAGTTCCATCCGTTTGTTGGTTGTTCTTTTTTTCACCAACAATCGCTGCGGGAGATGGGACGGGAGACGATTGATGGGTCCTGATCGTTGGAGTGAACATCCAAGGATGAGAACCCAGTAGCCCGAGTATGCCTGAGCTATTCGAGCAAAAACTCAGGCTCCTCAAACCATGCAAGTGGAACATGGTGGAAGATAACATTCCTCACCTTCCTCTACAAACTGGCACGCGCATGGAACTATTTGGAAGTAGAAAACCTCCGGTTTGGGAAAGACTTGTTTTTCCAGGGCCCGCCAGGGCCCGGCCCTGCTTGGATTTTTCTGAGTGCATGGTGTCGATCAGGCGCTGGAGAAGGAACTTGATGAGGTGCACGAGCAGTTGAAAGCAGCCAAGGCGTGGGTTTATTGGCGCATATTCCTCGTTGGGATGGGAACTCTGATGAATCGTTAGCCCTGCCTACCTCAATTTTCTGGGGAGGGGTCCCAATCTTTTGCTACGAGTCCTCCAAATCCAGAAGTCCTTTCACTGATACAAGAGACATTTATAGAGATACAAGTATGAGATCACCGTTACTAACGGTTGAAACCCTGGGCCTGGGGGTTTGACCCCACGGCCGCCGTTGAAGCCGCCGTGGCGGTCGCCAGGCCGACACGGCCGATTGGTGCGAGAGGGCTCGGGTGCCTGAGAGGGCGTGTGCACCGTTGAGTGGCGCAGTCCCAGAGCAGAGCAGAGGATCTGATCCGGTCAACTCGTGGTTTTGAGGACGTTGTGATGTCTACAGGGTACAGTGATGTCTACAGTGTACAGTGTATTCTCCAGCGTTGCAAACTGATCGGTGCCGGGCATAAAATTTGGGCCACGCAGCCATGGGCTATCCTGAACATGTTTTTTTTTTTAATGTCTTTCTCGACCAAAGCGACCGTGCGAATGGGAACCCGTTTGATCTCCCGACACACAAACCAGTGAGGCCATGGTTGCAGCGGACCAGTTGGCCACGGGCCAGGGGAAGGCGGCGGGACGTTGGTCCGGACGTTGGGATGTCGGCTTCGTCGTGTGGCATGCGTTCGTCCGGATGTGGCGAATTGGTCCTGGCGACTCGCGACCTTGAGTGGTCTTCTCCCCGGAGACCACCGAGTATCTGCAAGAAACTCCTGCTCCAAGCTTTCAACCCTCCGGGTTGGTTTCGGAAAGGAATAATCAAGCACCTTTCCGAAAGCATGAACAAACATGAAAAAAGACACAAGTCCCAGACAGCTCTTTGCCAGTCATCCCATCTTTCCCCCGTCTGCTGGATGCCTGGCCTTCGGTGGCTGGACTTTGGAACTGTTAAAAGATCTTAAAACAGGTTCAACCAAGCAGATACGTATATAAGTGTTGATATTAATATATTTTTAGGTACTTGTAAATTACGATTATACAGGGTAATTGAAACTGATCAAAGAAATGTGGAGGGTGAATAGGTCTGGAAATTGAATTCAGAGGAGGTTGCCGCACAGATCGATTCACTAGATACTAAGACTATGTCAATCCCGCGGAAGAGAGCCAGGCCGTGTCCACGTTCTTACGGAAGTTCCCTGCAGCTCCTGCGGTGCTGGTGCTCTTCAAACACCTGTTGTCACAGGCGGCGGAGACACTAGAGGCGCGCTGACGAGTTGCTGTGCCAAATGAGAGAGTTCGGTTGGTGGAAAGTTGGGGTGTGAGTTTTGGTGGGGTAACCCAAAGAGGTGAGTTGTTGTTGTTTCTGCTCTTGTTTTGGTGTGTGTGTGTTTGGTTCATTCTACATCCCCAAAAATCAAACCACTTTTTTCCAACCCGCCGAGGGTCGTGGCTCGTGGCTCACGGCCTGCTAGCACCGCCATGGTCCGAAAAGGTTCTTGGATGTTTTTGGGGTGAAACAAAGCAGAAGGTTCTCGGGATTTCGAAGGCTCTCGGGATACACCGACCAAGCTTTTCTCATGTCGCTGAACAAGTTCTTTTTCGTTCCCATTTGGTTCATGAATCGTCTCATTTTCCGAAGGACCGGATCTGAACACTGATGTCTTCCGCAGACCCATGATGCACAGACCCAACATTACAACTGGGGTAAAGGAACACCTCAGCCCGGCGAACCCATGTGCCAGGCTTCCGTGAAACAGCGGCTCTTCCTACATGGCGCGCCAGGGGGTGGGATCGCGAGGGGGGGGGGGGGGCCCTGACAGGAGGGTTTCAAGGAAGGACCGATGGAACGGTTCTTTGTTTGTACTCCAATGTATACGTGGGGGTTCGACTACCAAGTTTGGTTGGATAGGGGACACGCACGGGATACGCACGATCTGTTGAAACGAACATCTATGGCCCGCAAATAGATTGGAAAGACGAGGAAGTTTCTACCCTTCTTTTCTGCCCCTGAAAGATATTTTGACAGTTTGACAGCCTTTCTAACCTACCCGAAAAGGGCTGCAGCCTTGCAATTCTTTTTCTCAGACTCAGAACCAAGGGAGATTCAGAGTCGGCCACCCCACTGGTCACCACAATATGGACCACCATTGCCATGAGTGTGTTTTGGTGCGCCAGGACAATATTTGTCTCGCCACGAGCTGAATCAGTTCCTCACAGACTTCGCTGGCTTCAGGATGGGACAAAGACATGAAGATGGGCGTGCGACAGTGAGTTAGAAGGGGAAAGCCCATCAGTTGGAGGGTCTTTCTCTTTTGGATACACACCCATCCAACACGAAGCCCAATGAAGAGCATTGGAGGCCTAATTAGGGTTCAGTGCCTGTTGAAGAACTAACTACAGTTGCGGTACCTTTTGATGACTCTACCCTGGCTTGAATGTCTTAACTTTGGATGGAAGGGTTGTGTACCGTTCTGGACAAGCAGATGGATGTAGAGATGTTCCAAAAGCTGCAACAGAGATGATACCTTTAGAGAGGCCCCTGAATTTGGGATACATGTTCCATGAAGGGATTCAACCTTTCCTACTCTCGACTATATCCCTTTGTTGCAGGCGCTGGAGGAAATGGTTGACCCTGACAAACGAAAACTCGTGACCCCCATCCTCGGAAAGGAGAGACAGGGTTGAGTGAGTGGTGGTTTTGACTGGTTGTTTGGAATTTGGAGATGTTGCATGGTGTCAAATTCTTTGCTGCTTCTTTTGAAGCTAGTGGCAGCTGATTTTACTAGAATGCTATTGGTAGGTTTTGGGAGCATGGGCATCGTTGCACATCCAGCATGCTGTAAGGGTTTTTGCCTCCAAACATGGCTTCCATGTTTGTTGCGTCCTTTTCTCCCCACTCAGTAACAGCCAAAATCAGCCTCACCATTTTGCAGCCCGGTGTCCCTGATGAGGTATATCATGGTATATCCTATCTGACCTATCTATGTCTACAAACCATCTGACAATATCTACCATTTACTTTAAAGGGCCAGAAAATGGAGCCACTTGGATCCCACTTCCGTCTCGTTCTTCGCTCCTTTGGGAAAGCCCAACGAGGATCCGACGGGATTTCCCATGATTTCCAGTTCGGGATCCTTTGGACCGCAAAGACCGATGGTGGGTGGCCTCCCAGATCCTCTTTCTGCTTTCCGGAGGCACGTGGAGCTGAACGTGGTCTCCCAAGCGTTGTTTGGGGCTTTGGACTTGGAGCGAGAAGGACAGATTCCACAGGCGAGGACAGATTTGGTCCGGTGTGGCCTCCAGTGTCTTGAAAACAATGCTTGGTGCCACTGGGGTGATAAGGAAAAGGCTTGGTGAGGGACGTATACAGGTGATGTCACGGTAGCAATTGTCTGATGTGTGGCTTGGATGCAAGCTGCTTTGTTGTGAACTTCTGAGACTCAGCTTCACTGACAGGATTTGCTGCTGGAACGTTTGCGAGAGCCACCATCCATGAAGGCTCGCTAAAGTCAGACGCATGAAGACGGTGGTGCAGAGACTGTTCAGATTGAGGAGATGGGAATGCCTTGAAGACTTGCGGTGCAGCAAGGGGTGGCTTGTGAAGATCTGGAAAGAGACGAACTGTCAGCAAACCTCCCTCAGGTTTTGTTCTCCTAGTTGTTGTCATCGTGAAAATAGCTACGGAGACCTCCATGAACGACCAGACACAGGGGAATATATACATATGACAACTACATCTTTTCTCCCCAGAGAAGCTGGAAAGTTGACAACTAGCAGGGGGGACAAAGAAGCCTCTCCCAAACCTCACAAAGCAAAGAAAAAAAAGAAGCGAAGATGCTTGGGCCCCTTGAATCAGACCCTTTTAAGGGTTTGACGGTGGCCTAGATGAAAAGAAGGGAACCGCGGCTCCCCAGACTGGATTCACCTGTGCCGCGCGGTTTTTCGAGGAGGTTTGGCTCGCCGACCTGGAAAGCCTGTGGCCCGGGCGCGAGAGCATTGTCGAGTGCGCAGCAGAGTGGCGCACATATGCGGCGCATGCGGATGCGGCACATGCGGCAATGTGATGAGGAAGGGTTGAAAGCAATTTGGTAGAGTCTTGTAGTTTGTAGAGAAGCTTTGGAGAAACGAAGCATCACCATCATCCAGCATCACTACTTCTCTTTGATTGGTATTTAGAGAGATGGTGATGGTGGTACAGTGGTAGAGACCTCCTGGGCACCAGGTATGCGCGCCGCTCGCCACCCCGGCAGAGCTCGTTGCCCAGGCTCGGGTGGTTTTGGGATGGGCGGTTCATGCGCTGGAAACGAGGTGATGGGTGAGATGAGTTGGGAGGGCTGGACAGTTGGCGATGACTTCCACCTGGTGGTGTTTCTAGAGGTTTCTAGGGGTGTAAAGGGGGGCTTTTGAACGCGGATCGGAGGAGTTGGGGTTCTGCGATCAATTCGCTGCGAAATGGAATCTTACTTTACGATACATTGAACATCGTTTCTATCATGACAATTGTCAGCGATGCTCTATGCTATGCCATAATACAATTGCTGAGAGATACGCAATGACATAGGCCGTATTTTGTGTTGTTTTTCGGACACTCTTGGTCGCAGACAATACGATACATATTCTTGGCAAACAAGCACCAGAATGTTACTGTACAAGAACCACCGCCTGGGAATGATTCATGAGTTTTTGAGTCGATCCTTTTTTTGTACAGTAGTACACACCCAGCTGTTCTGCCATAAGTGATGTTGAGGAGACATGACATGATCTGCTCTCACATACTGCCCGACATCATACGAAGAGCAGAGCCCGGTGATCACCCGCCAGGCCGCGCAGCAGCCGACCAGGCCAAAACCCCAGACCGTAGAATCCGCAGAATGCAGACCGGTTGTGCGTCCTTCGTTTGTTTTTGGATGCGATTTCAAGGGAATCCACCAGGAATCCATTTGTTTGGATTGTCAGAAGTCCAGATGGTTGTGGATGTTTAGGTAGTCGCAACCTGTTTAGAATCATTGGAGGCCGTCAGGGCATTGATCGAGCTGAACTCTCGATGTTGATATGCATGCAAATTGCACCCGCAATACCATGAAATGCCAATATAATACACAGTTGAATCACGTTGCCATGTCAATGAAGCACGTTCAGAGATTGACTCTATCGACGTTTTTGTTATCGATTCTACCGAGAAAGTCAGGTCATGACGAGGTCATGAACAGTGGACCAATACTCAATTGATCTCAATTGTATGATGCCATTGCGATCTTTACTCTCCTGAAGAGTGTAAATACCTTGTGGATCTTAATACATGCCATATGGAAGCCAATGCCGAACAGGATAGTGAAAATAGAAAACCCCTTCTTGAGCTAAGAAACAGATTACAGTAGAAACATGGGGCACCCAAAACCCTCAATCCACCCATCCTCACAGCCATGGAAACATCGGTACCACCTCCCCTCCTTGGGCCCGGCGAAGTGAGGCTCGGCATGCACGGCACCGGGTGCCTTTGCCGGGCGAAGGCCCAGTGGGCGAGGGTGCCCAGAGAGACATGGAGGCCCAGTGGTTTGGAACGGCGGCCCAGTGGCACTCGGTGAAGTGGGAACTATCATCATCCATCCATCATCACCCTATTTTGGGTTTGGCTGGTATGACCCTGGCCTTAGCTTTCGATTGGATGGTTCAGTTGTCAGGTGTAGTTCTTGTGTGAACGGATCAAATAGAGTCTGCATGGATATGCACGGCATGGCTGAAGCAAAGAACACTCTCCATTCAATTCTTAGAAGATAGGTGCGGAAGGAGCTTGGTCACAGGAGCTTCTTCAGAGCTTAGAGTAGATGGCCACAACCCCCAAGATGACCTTTAGTAGGGGAGAGGCGATGCAAACCACCCACCCTGGGGATTGTGCCATCATGTGCCATCTGCTCTCAATCCACAAAAAGCCGTCAAGCTCCAGTAGACCACATCTTCCAGACCGGAGGGTTCACCTGGGACGCTTGGCATCGCTGGGCTCCATGGTGAACAGCCAGATTCAAACGGCTAAGACTCGCTGATTCCCGCGTTCCGTCCCCTCAGGTCTTCCGTTCCTGTGCCGTTCGGGTGCTCAGAGCCGGTGGATTTCGGGAGAACTGGGACCGTCCCACCAGTGCCCCCGAGGTCGAAGTCGACGCCCAAGCGGCCGAGCACCGTGCAGCCACTGAGTGAGCGCGAGTTCAGCGTCCATCGCAAACATGGGAAAGAGATGCATTTCTTCAAGAGCTGCAGATGTTGAGCTGTTATGAGCTGTCATGAGCTGTTCAGTGAATCAGACGGCCACATCAAAACATCAAACAGGTCCTGTGATGGCTTCGGCCGTCATCGCTTCTCAAAACCGCTTGGATGACTCGTCCACGCCTGACACACACGCATGTCCTCCCAGGCGGGACACGCACGAAGCCGAAGAGATCGAGATCAACAAGGTGCCGAAGCCGAGCTCAACGAGCTCAGAGCAAGTCAGTGTCAGTGTAAGGCAGTGTCAGTCTGATGGTACATTAGCGCAGATTTGTTGATACAGCGCAGATTTGTGCAGTGTTGGTCGAGGAATGATTGGCAGGCTCCCCGCAAAAAAAACAGTGGGAGGATGTTAGAGGTTTCTGGGATGGTTGAAAATTGCATGTTCCTTGTGGCAGACTCCCACCCGCGGTGTAAGAAATGTTGCCCGGAGCTGTTTGCATTATTCACATCGCAATCATCGCAAAAAAGATTTAGGGGTGCCTCTGGACATTCCTCCAGTGGGCAAATGGCAATGGCGGTCATGCCTTTTGGGAAAACATCAAACTCGCAAGAACATGGGCTTCCCTACCTTTAACCGGGGGTTGACGGGTGATTGACGCTTGGCAGGTCTCGTGCAGAAAGACCGGAGGAGCACTGTGAGGGCCCAAAGAGCTGCAACGCCTGGGCGTTGTGGCGAGTACTCCAACGAATTGAACAAGAATGAGTGCATCAGATCTAAACATATATATATATATATATATTTAACCCGACCTCACCCGGAAATAACGACCTAAGTTTGAAAATGAGACCCACACTTTATTGTAAAAAAAAGAACAACCCCCCCCCCAGGAGTCTGGTGACCCATCCGGGTGAAAAGCTTTGGAAAGGGTCATGGGTTCAGCCGAAGATTGTCTAAAAACACTTGAAGAATAACATCATGTTGGAACTAGGGTTGATTTTGGCCACCCCAAATGCCAGTTCCACAGTATGAGTGGTTGACACTGGCGCAAGCGCTCCACAGCAGTCTTTCAGCAGCAGCGCAGCAGCAGCATCCTGGCCCGGGAAAGTTTATTTTTCCTGCGTTGCCCATCCGTTTGCTCCCTGCCCACCACAAGCCCACGGCCAGGCAAAGCTGCACGGGGCGCGGGCGCCAGCGTTTCCAAAGACATGGTGAACTTTAGAACCCTTAGAAGATCAGATTGGCTGGGCTCTGGCTGGCCAGTCAAAGAAGCCATGCGCAGTCAACTTTGGAGAAAAATTTCCTGGGCCGGGAAAGTTGTTTTTTTTCTATTTGTGCGTTCCCTTTTTGGGGCTTCAAGCTGTTGCAGGAAACTTTTTGCCAGAGGTCAAAGAAGCCACGTGCAGTCCACTTTGGAGAACACACTTTCCTGGGCCGGGAAAGTTGATTTTATTTTTTCTATTTGTGCGTTCCCTTTTTGAGGCTTTGAGCTATTGCAGGAAACTAATACCCAGAGGGAATGTTGCTGTTAGGGTAGCAGAGGTCACAGAAGCCACGTGCAGTCAACTTTGGAGAAAAATCTTTCCTAGCCCGGGAAAGTTATTTTTTAATTGTGTTGCTGAATTGCCGCCCTTGCTCGCTGCAGGTCCTTGAGACAGTCGAGGCCGTGCAGGACCAGTGGTTGAGCAGTGGCCTGGATCCGGAAAGCGAGCATGTTTGCGCCGTTCACATTGGTGATCAGCTCCGCTTCACTTCAAAGCCCATAAGTGTTGGGCCTCTTGGGCGACGGCAGGCTGAGTTCAAGGGTGTGTTTGGCTGGGTGAACAGCAAGGTGGCTGGTTCGGCCTTGTTCCTTCCACGGCGTTGCTACCGCCACGCTTCGGATGGTGCTCCAGAGTTGGCAAAACTGGCCGGCATGAGTGATGAGGCTTGTGAGAAACAGATTGCGGTCGAGGATGGTGAGCTGGCCAGAAAAAGCCCATTGCATTTGCAAGGGTTTGGTGTTTTCGGGCTGGAAGACAGGTGTCGTTGTCGCTTGTCCAAATTAAGGTTCGTGTTAATCCCCTCACAGAAGTTCGTACAAGGGTTTGTTCACAGAAGTCTTCACGAGCGCCGGTCCAGTTTCATCACTCCGGTGGGGGCCCAAAGTTACCCCATTGATTCGATGTTTTCTCCTTCAACTATTCCGAACTTCCGAATGTCTGTCCCCTGCCAGGCCTGCCTCGCCTGCGCCTGCAGCGACAGGGGGCGACCTAGGATAATTTCATAATTTCACTAAATCAAGGTTTAAAGATATCTAAATTAAGCGACGACCTAAGAAAGAACTTACATAAATCACGCAGATATATACATATAATTGGCAAGTACTCCGACAATGTTTCCGATGAAGAGGTGCCAGTGGAAGGACGTTTCAATTTTCACTGATGGCTATTGAGAAGGATCGTGCACTCAGAGGACTTATGGACTTGGTCCTTCTACCTAATTCAACACTCCAAGGGATCCACATCAAAAAAGGGCTTCAGCCCCGACCGCTTCGTTTGCTCAGTCAAAACAAACCTGGAACCCCATATTAGACTTGAAGAAAGGAGTGGCAACCGTTAGCTCCTTCTGGTAGTGTCCACCTTGTTTGTTGTGACTGAGGCACACGGCCTGCAGCAAGAAGCTGAACCCGTGGCCGTGGAGAAATGCGGCGCGAGTGGGGCGAAGTTGAGCAAAGTTAATGGAGGTTGACTTATTGGATATTGAGTCATCAAGATCTTGGATAATGCAACACCCAGCCAATAGATTTTCCCCAAATAGATGCTTTGTTGGACAAACAGATTTTGGGAAGACTGATTCCAGGAACAGTCTTTCTTTGTCCTTCATGCAGCTTTTTTTGGGCTCCCGCCGGGTGCCATCAGCCACCCTGAAGGGTTTGGCAGGGTGACTTAGCCGCCTCCAAAACAGTGACATGCTGAGCAAACATCGGCGTCCAGACGAAGGAAAGAAAGGGTAGGGTAGGATGTAGGGGAGGATGTAGAGGATGTAGATAGGATATGATAGGACCGGATAGATTAAAAATTGTTTGCCCATTGATTCTAATATGTAGTAAGGACAGTACGGATATGTAAGGATGAAACAATCCGTAACATTCCTGAAGGTTTGAGGAACATGCTCTCAGGCCGAACTGGTGAGTCAACAGTGGCAATCATGTGGGGTGACAGATGGACACTCAAAATAGCGGAAGAATGCCAGGTTGGGTCACTTTTGTTCACAGTACAGCATGCCTGCTCATATTGGGGGAGTGCATGCTGGGTCTTGGGTTTTGATTCATACATGCAGCTGCACCACTTCTCCAAATAGCAAGGGAAATGGAGAGGTTTTGTCATGCTTTGCCATCAGGACTTCTGGGTTTCCGTGTGATGCGCCCTGGAAGGTCCAGGTCCGAAACAAGCGTCTGCAACGAGGAAGGAGTCCTCCTTGTTCGTCCTGTATCCTGCCTGAGGCTGATCGCGCGATGAGTCAGGGGCCAAGTTGAGGGCTGCGTTGAAGCGACGCCAAAAGTTGGTTCAAGAAGGAATCATCTGTACCATGATTTGGCACAGCGCCAGGTATATACTATACACGAACATATGGGACACATGTGACACATGGAAAAAACGGAATCATTTGTCAAGTCAAAAATTAATCAGAAACTGGTTGAACGTGATCTCGGGGTGGTTCCAAAAATGAGAATTCCCCTTTTGTTGTAAACTGTTGAGGCTCAGTGGCTGTGGCGGCTTTTTTGAGCTGGACCACGCGATCATCCCCAAGTGTTGCATTTTGGCCCCTAGAACCCATTCATGATAAAATTACACATTACCAACAAGCAGCCCCACTTCTGGTTGTTGGTGAACATTGAACACCTCAGCTGGTTGAGTCCTTTGCTTTTACCCATACCTTTAGACTCAGAAGTCCGCTGAGCTGCTTACTCGCATGTCTAAGAGTTCCAAGAGTTTCTGAAGGATGAGTGGACAAGTCTGGGCGCTCCGCTCACACAGCAAAAGAGAAGCCTCCGTGACATCGTTCTTCGCGGGAGTCGCCCAGAAGGGCGGTGGACCCACTCGACCAAGAGCTTTTCCAAAAACAGAACATCACGACGCCCAGTATGACTCCCTGAAGAAGCCAATCGGCTATTTGTTTGTGAGAGGTTCGATGAAAGAATGGGCCCCCTTTATGGACCCCCATCTAAAAGACATCTTGGGGTTTGTGCGCTCGAACCTTTGAAACCTATGTACAAAGTTCCTAACTTTGTTTGTGGGAGAAGGAGAAGTGTTGGTTCCACCTCACTTGCGAAAGAAGACCTCTTCAGTTACTGTAGTTTGATTTCACACTGCAAGCCGGACCAGTTTTGGAGGCATCCATTTTCAACTGCTTGGGTTTCCAGGGACACCAAGACCAAAGCCTTTCAGCTTGGGTGTGTGATGGAAGCCCAGTGTAGGGTAGCCTGCTGTGTAGCCAAACGTCCTATCAAATCGATCCAACCACCGTCGCTGAGGCCAGTCGTCCCGGACGCCCTACGACCATCTCCGGTACCGTGCCATCCTCGGTCTTGGTCAGGGTCTGCAGTCATTCACTCCAGGGTTTGCAGCGTGGACTGAAAGGCAACTCCTTTTCAGCATGTATGCTGCAGGATGCTGCAGGATGCTGCACTGCCAAGGGCTTTCCTTTGGGTATGTCTGGGTGATGTTTCGGAATCCTCTGCCTATTGCGTCATCGAACATCGATTGGAGCTTGGGTGGGCAACGTTGGAACCAAGGGGGTCTTAACTATAAGTCTTGTAAATTGGGACGTGGGCCTCGGTTGGAGCCTGGGTGCTTTGAATCCCCAAAAGCATCCCCAATGTGGATTGACCTGCGGAGGGCCGCTTTCAAGAGATGGTTTGAGTCTTCCTGGATCATGTACAAGCGCAGATGGATGGGTATGGTGGGTATGGCTCGTGGAGGCAGATCATGAGAAAATAAGTGATGTTTGTTGGAACAATGGGGAGACCTCCCGTTCCTGGCGGAGGGACAATAAAGTCAACAGATGCACCCAGCATTTCAGTCATTCTGAGACAACTCAGTCTGAGGTTATCCGGAGACATGGAGGACGGGAGACTCACGTTTGAGACTCACATTTGTTGCCGTGCGTTTGATGCACATCCCGAGATGCGTTGGCCTACCTACATGGTTTGGATCGTTTGCAATACAGCTTGCGCAACATACTTTTTTGAGAATTGGTTCTGATGCCTTTTGGGCTACATGTACTGACAAGATGAAACGTTCACGAAGAGTGGGGACTTTCTCCCGCCGACTTCAGGTAATTGGGCACCAGTTTGGCCAACATCTATCAAACAGTAGCATGTTATCGTTTGTCTTTGTTTAAATATTGTTTAAGGTTCCCCAAACAGTGTGGACACACTAGGGGTTCTTACGGTAGGGGTAAGGGCCGGTGTCTAATTGAGGTGTCCGGCTAATTCGCTGCTATTTACTGTACATTCATGCCTCTCGAAATCCTCGAAGTGCATTTCGACTGCGCAGGCTCACAAATCTGGTGGGCCGCGGTGGGTGCCTGTCGCAGAACACAACTCGGAGACGGACATACCGAAGCAAGGCCACATGGAACATACCATTCTGCGTATGCGTATATATAGACATATACTGCGGGGGCTGCGCAAAGTAACCTGACAGGCTGCGCGCAAGCGTCCCCGCCGCAAAGCTGCCATGACAGCCACCGTAGCCAAACCAGAGGCTGTCGTGCGACCCTCACATTAAACGGTATTATACCACTGTGGAATCCCTTTATTTTTCTTGTACTTGGACGCCCTTTATACATAAAAATAACATGAGCCTCGGATTCAGGACTTCATAAGTGTTTGGTATATCCATCATAATCCCACCCATCAGGATTTTATAAAAGCAGGTTGTTTTTAAATGCACTCCTATTGGTGGGTCCACTGGTGAACTACCTGGGTTTCAGGATTCTATTAAGCAATACCTGGAGATTCAGGGTCGCGCACCAAATCAGACTATATACAGGAAAAGTAAATGGATTCCAAAACACGTCCTGGAAGTCCACTGCAACCATAGGCCCCTTTCAAGGGCTGCCTTCACAACCTTATTCCACTCCTCTTCCGTGGCTCTGGCCTCTGACCGGTGTGGGGATTCAGGCCACTCCACCCACTCACTCACCCACTCACTCACTCACTCACTCAGTCACTCACTCAGTCACTCACTCAGTCACTCAGTCACTCAGTCACTCAGTCACTCAGTCCCACCCCACCCCACCCCACCCCACCCCACCACGATCTCTGGACCCTAAATCTCTGGACTTTCTGGTGCTACACCTCTAGACCTCGCACACACTGTTTGGGGTCTCTTGCCGGGATGATTTCCGGGATAATATATTTATTTAACAGTCTTAAACGGTGAGATCACCTTGGCCCCATGGGTTTGAGTACATGTCCGTCTCAGTACAGGTCATTGGCCACCCAACGGATGGCACGGCATCCGGCTGCCAGGAAGTTGGTGTCCATCTTGGACAAAGAGGGCGTGCCTCGGAGAACAGATGTGAGCCAAACGCTCTCTTCCATGTTTGACCCTAAACAGAGGTAGACAAACAACTCAGAAAAATGATGACTCAGTCTCCCTACGTTTATTGCATGTGTAATCGCATCAAAAGCAACAATATATTGCTCTTTTAATGGACCCTCCGGAAACAGCTCACATCAGCAACAAGGGCAACTTCTGGACAGGTTTAACGGTTTTTATCAACCTTTCCTTGAGCTGTAGAACTGAGACACATACTTGTTTTTGATTTCTTTGTGGGTACAGTGAAGATTGCAGATCTTTGCTTCGCCCGTACGACTTGTGCGGGTTTCATCCAAACTGGCGACGGACGTTATTAGTTCCAACATCAAAATCGACGTGACCCGTGACCAGCAGGGGATCACCACCTCTCCCTTCGAAGAACTGGCAAGAACTGGAGGTATCTACTTAAAGAGTGGAACCGAACCGCCGCATCACTACCAAAAGGAAACTTGTTTTTCTCTGACGCTGCATTTGAGGCTCCAGTGGCCATGTCCCCCTCAGGGCCTGCGCCCCATGGGAACGAGTTCAGGGTAGCGACTCCAGTTTCAAACGACGGGTAGCAACTCCAGGCAGATGTTCCGAATGTGAAGTTACAGCAATTCGTTTGTATTCTTAGTAGTTTTCAGGACACATATTGTCAGACAGAAGAATCCATGTTTGTTTAGTTTGTCCAGTCTACTCTAGACTCTTGGTACTCCAAGAATGACAGGCAATCCCCAGCTGTAGGAGGATGGAGGGCTATGCCGGATGGAGGGTAGCTGCTTCATTGATCGCTATTCCGGGTCCAACAACTAGAGTGCTACAGCACCTTGACCAGATCGTGAAATGACCCACAAGAATCCACAACATGAGTTGATCCAAAAAGAGGGATTCACAATGTGAGCTTTTGGCAAGATTGTTGACCAGATGGTTTGAGGACGGTTGGGAAGTCCATTCTCTTTTTGAAAGGACGGTTGGTTTCGCTTGTTTGGTGCCGCAAGCCCCATCGGCGAGGGCCATGCCATGCCATGTCACTCCAAGGACTGTGAGATGTTCGTTTGTGTTTTCGTTTTCCTGTTCTGAAAGCCGCACGACTCCATGAGGAAAACAAAAAACAACGGCCTGCAAATGGAATTGAAGCACTCTTCAAACCGCTCTCCAGTTTCTGTAGATTCTATAGGTTTTGGACCTTGCACGGATTGACTTGTGTACAAAAAAGAATGTACACACCCATAGCAATAACTTCTTCATGACTCAGATCGACCGAGGCTGGTGCGACCCGGCGGTGGATTCCGCATCGAGGGGGCGCACGCAGGGCCGAGCGAGGCGGGGGTGGTTGTTTCTTGTTCCTAGTAGCGAGGCCAGGAGCCCCTAGTAGCGTCCTTGCTCCTAGTAGTAAAGTTTGATGCTCATCATGCTTTGACAAGAGGATTTCTCTTTTTCCTCCACATGTGCTTGGCCTCCGTCTGATCTAAGTCAAGGATCAACGATATTTCTCTGAGTCCGCGAAAGAAGTTCCAGTTTTCGAAGTCAACCCCCAAAATTGAGTTTCAAAGGCATAACCTGACCGCACCTGGCCTTCCAATTTGCGACTGCTGGGACATTTGGGTCCCTGGGTGTTTAGGGCTTAGGGTTCCTTCCTCATGAGTTGTGGTTCTTCCACCCGTTTGAGAAGCACTTGTCATCTCAGTTAATGTTTCTACCCAGAGTTGCTCGCCCCTCCTCCAAAATGCTCAGTCTTCACATGTCTTCACCAGATCAACCTTTACATTTTCTCCAAGAAAGGCGACCCACCCACAACTTCAGGAGTGTTGAGCTCAGTATGGCTCTAAAGAAGAAGTAGCGCATCATAAGGAAGATCTAGATTCTATTGCTACCTCAGGGAGCAAATCTTAGCAAACACAAATGGTTCAGAAGATGACTTAAAGGTAATTGAGCTACCCCCAATGGTTTCTTCGGTGGACGCAGGCGTCGCCCACGTCCACCGCCCTGAGCCGCACCGCATCAGCCGCTGGGACCAGCTGGAGCGACCAATGGGAGAGAAGAGCCCTCCAAAAACATGTTGAAAACCCGATGTGTTGCTGGTTTCATCCTGATCTCCGATGGTTTATTGGCAGGAACATCCGAGTCAATCCAAGGAAGGCCCAAACCTGTGGTCTCCCCCGTGGAGCTCAGTAGTTTCTGGTGTTCTTCCCAGAATACATAGCGAAGGGTTCCCTTTTATAGTCTGGGGGTTTGGGGGCTGGACCCGTGCTTTTTGCGCCACAGAAACGGCCACAGCTGCAAAACCAAGCAGGCTTTTCACATGGTTGCGTGATGTTGCGTGCCCCTCCGCATCAGCAACCTGAAGATTGGGAGGAACCCCGACCAAGCCGCTTGCAGGAGCTTCTTGAGATTCGGATCGGACCATCTGTAAGATGAAGGGGAAAGTGATTGATTGAGCTTTTGCTTCTGAAACGCTGAAATGTCTGAGGATCCAGCCTTCCTCAAATGGAAGCAGCAGGATGAGCAGAGCGTGCACACGCTCAGGCCGGCGGCTTGAGGCGAACCAATGCTTAACCCTGAAAAGGTTTGGGTATACCTGGCCTCCGATACTTTCATTGGCTGTGATGTAGCTCAAAGGAGCCGAGCCATCAAAGCGGACTGGGGGTGGAGGCGAGCCTGCAGTGCGTGCCCTTACTTTGGCACGCTGACTTCGCTGGGGTCCACACTCCAAGAATTATTATTCTTTCCAACCATGAATCACTATACTGTTGGCTTGATATAGACAAACCCCGCTGCCTTGGTCCCTTGTGTGAATCAAAGATTCCTCAGGACCCGGGTGTGTGAACATTGTTCGTTCGCCTCACGAAATGCGCGACGGAAGCGCCCCGCAGCCGCCGGAGGATGATGAAGAAGGAGCGGCGGAATCCTTTTGGGAGTTGGTACGAAGGCTCCAAGGCGCTGCCTGTCGAGCAGCGGGTGGAAACGGTGAGATTTAAAATCCAAACATCAAACAAGATCAATCAAGATCAACAACCCTACTCTCACTATCCTTGGAGATCGCCTGGATGTTTGCAATGCTCAAGAGACCACCCTTAGAAATCTTAGAAGCCCTTGAAGTCCACTACCCAAACGACGATTCAACGAGTACATCGACAGTTGCACCGCACCGTCTAAGCCTTCTCCAATCACTCTTCACCCGGCCAGATGAGACGGGTAAACAATGGTAAACATGGTCCTGACTTTGGAATCTGTTCGCTTCGACCAACGTCTTTCCACGTCCACGCGACCTCGCCCGCCCAGGTGGTCGAGAAGATCGGCGGCGTGGCCAGCAACGACCCCTGCGCCTTTCCCTCCAACTAGGGCGAGCTCTCCGAGCGGATGGCAGGAGTGGTGTAATCGAGCTACCAGATGTTACTTGCAACAACGCCGACATACATGGTTTTCAAATGTAAGCTACTAGTTACTAGTAACAAGGGTATCGCTACTAGGAGCGAGGACGCTACTAGTAGCTTCTGGCCTTACAACTAGTAACAAGAAGCTAGGAGCTAGAAGCTTCCTTGGGAATCGCTTCACTGGGAATTCGTTTCACCTGGAGTTAACAAGAAGCTACTAAGACTATAGTCGTTTTTAACAGACTTCTTCATCCTCTCTCTAGAAGACGGCGGCTCCAGGAGACTCCCAGCGGCTACAGTCGCGTTTTGCCGGCTCCCGCCAAGCGGGAGAGGCGGCACGCGGAAAAAGCCGCGGGAGCGCTCAGGGCTCCGGGGAGGCGCTGGGCTCGCTGGTTCATCGTTGGAGGTGCAGGACATCGTGGGGAGGACTTAGGGCGCCAGGATGGCTGATCAGAGGACCTTCTGCAGGACCTTTGTGGATATTTCTGGACCCTCCCAAGGAGATGTGTTGCATGATCCTAAACCCGAAGCAAGTCTAAGGGAGAATTGGCTCAATCATAAATTGTTCCGCATGTATCTCTTGCATTCATCATTCATCCAAGATTTGTGATATCTTCAGCCTTCAGTGGATGTTCGGGCTACGATTGTTGAAACCGGTTCACCGTGACTTCCACCCACTGAGACGGATTCAGATCTCACAGGTCTGCTGTGCACCGCCCCACCCGGTCGATGGGCCGTGAAGCACGGGGCTCCTGGGGATTGGACCGCTGCTGCCGCGTGCTGCAGACAGCCGGATGAGCACGCAGCCCATCCAACTGTTTGACCTCATTTTGTGGGTCACCCACGGACGATCCATGAATGATCCGTCCATCGGTGTCTGTTGACCCTAGCAGTGTTCCCTTGCGGTCCACTCGCTCTCGGAACTGATCGGTCGACGCGCGGTGCCACGGGGGGAGACCATCGGAGGACGACACGCGGCGCAAACACCGCCTGTCGAAATGGCCCAAGAGTCCTCTCTGACAACGAAACATGAGGTACTTTAGAGAACATTGGAGGAAACCAGACAGGCCTTGTGCTTGAGACTGCAGAGACACTCAGAGACAGTTTTTGTTGGGGCATTGTGCTTGCCACGCACGACTTCCCAGTGGGAGAAACGGAAGACTTGCATTCCAGAGGCACCAAGGGACAGGCACAAACTCACGGCCCTATTCCCTGGCCCTTTTGCTTCTGAGGGGAACACCAAAAAAAAGTGGCAAGTAGATGGACACATACTCTTAATATCCGTTAATATCTCTTAACATCTCTCAACCCGCCCCTTCCAATTCACAGACGAGAGCGCACAGACTGCAGAATGACCCTGCAGGATCTCGCAGGTCATTTTCCAACAAATTTCGGAGTCATTCCTCACAAGCACTGCAAAGCCGGTCCGGGCGACCTCAATTTTGGAAGACGCGGCCTGGTTCTGATGCCGTGAGCATGTCGGACTACTACAAGGGGCAGCGGCGATTTGCACTCGGAGGCGTTTTTGGGCGCGAGCGTGTTGGCGGAATGAGAGAGACCGGGTGACATTTGTCCAAAAAAACATGTTCAGCTTCACAATGTTTAAAGATTGAGGCAGAAGGGGCAGCACAAGAGTGGGTGACATCAGCAAGTGCATGTGCATGTTTTAGTTTGAAAAATGCCCCGGGGCAACTCTCACAAGTGCGGGCGATCTCAGTGATCGCATCAGTCGGTCCGTGCGATCAATTACCGAATGGTCACTGGCAGGAAAAGGCTGGACCGTGGTACTTGGCTGCGTGGTGTCCTTGAGCTACATCAGGCGTGATGGTGCTGTTTCCACGCGAGACGAAGTGACGTCGTGTAGGTTGATGTAGGTTTTTAGTTTGCATCGGAGATTTCGTAAGCTCAGCTTCTTGAAAGGTCAATGATTGCCACCGTCGCCTTTGTTTGTACACTTCCTTCAGACCCTGATGGTGTTGGGGGATGTTGATGTGTGGGGATGTGGTAGTGGACAGCAATCTTGGATGGTGGTGTGGGCGGTATGGACACCAGAACTCCTGGAGGGTCATGCTTGAAGAGGGGATCGTGAGTGTGACACGTTCACTGTTCGAGAGCGTATTGAAGGTGTCTTGACAATTTGGTTCGCTTTTTGTTCATGAGAGATGAGGATGATGAGGATTGTCAAAGGCCAAGTACAGCCATGTTCTAGGAGGATGTCAATGAATGAGTCAAACACTTTGAATGGTCACCAGACGTAAGGTGTGCAAAGCCGTTTGGGCCTGAGTCAGTTGCGTCACAGAATTCTCTCCACGGGAATCGAAACACGGCAACAGACTGGTCCCCCAAAATGGTTGATAAGCTCCACAGATTCTAGAGCGGTGCAGACAGCTCTCGGGGCGCGACGCGCGAGCCATTTCGTCCCCTCTTCGCGATGTGGCGCCTCCTTGCACTGGCCTCCAGCGCTCTGGCTGTGCTGCCGGACGATGCGGTGGTCGCTTTGCCGAACGTCACGAAGCTGAGGAGAGGAGGGGGAATGAGAGGGGGGAACTAACAACTGCATAATAATATGAAATAGTATTAATACGTATTTGTTGAAATAGTTTGGAATGAAGCTCCCATTGAAGAACCCTGAAGCCCCCAACATTTTCGGGCACACTGTGCCCATTGATAGTCAACACCTGGCCGAAGCTGAGCCCATGCCTCCGCTTCGGCTCGCCCCGCGGCCGATGTCCGAACGCGAACAAGCTCTTCCGCAGGAACAAGCACTTTGCCGGCTTCGCGGAGGTGAATGCCACCGAAGAGAGGCGAGGCGAGTCATGTGTGTCGTGTTATTTTGATGTGTTTTTGATGGCTAAAAAGGATTAAAAAGGTGTGTGTACCTGACATACTGTGTGTATCCTAATATAGTTAATTGTAATTAGATACTGGCTTGCTAACACAAACTGACTGTTTCCTTCAAATTGAAATTGGGGAGTTTGCCCAGAGGGTCCAAAGCACAATCTGAGGAGGTACGACTGGAGCCCTCTGTCGGGTCTTGATTCCTTTGGCTGGGAAGTGATGGACTAAATGGACTTTGGATGGGGCGAGGGCGATCGGCTGAGGGCGGTGATGGGAGGGAAGCATCGGAGCGACTGCAACAGGTGAGGGTTTATGGAAGGGGATGGTTGGTGAGATGCGAACAGAAGAGGCAGAGTTGAGGTGCTGTTATGCACGCTCATCAGACCGGGAGTGTCCCAGCTGATTCTGGAAGCATTTTGAAGCAAAATAGACCAACATGGTGATATCCCAGACTGGTTCTTAGCAGGGAATGTGGAACGTTTTGCCCTCCATAGATGAAAGGATCCAGATGAGACCCTCATTCCCCGAGTCGCACCAGTCAGCTCGGTGACATGCAAGGCCCTTAGTAGCGATGGCGATGGCCTGCAACCTAAGAGCTATGGCCTCCAACCTAAGAGCGATGGCCTCCATCCCAGTAGCAATGGCCTCCAACCTAAGAGCGATGGCCTCACGGAATCCGCAGAATGAAAAGCCTTGGTTGGGTGGGTCTTATGCTGCCACAAACCGCGGAGGCAGCTCTTCTATTGGTTTGTGGAGGCGGCCAATGGCAACAAACCTGGAGCCTCTTGGTGGATTCTAGTAACAACTCATACACCTGGAGTCACAATGACATGCCTTATGCTGGGCTTCCATGGGGGTTCCCACATGACTTTGACGCAGGATGACGCAGGCTACCAACAAAAGAATTCGGTGACCCCTTGACCCCTTGGAATTCTCGATACCCTCTTCCGTTCGATCTTTCAGGCTGTCAGCGGACTAGTCTGACCCTGACCCGGAGTAGAAAGTGGTCGACCCTTGGAGCACACATCCAGCCTTTCTGTCAGTAGTTCGTTCACCCAGAAGGCCCGGCGACGATAAGACGGCGCCATCCGACCCGCCCGCGGACGCGTATGCCGAGAGCGCCGATCCGCAGGTCACGCCGAACGTCATTTGGATGAACGGTGGCCCGGGTGCCTCCAGCATCACGGGGCTTCTGGTGGCTTGGCGAAACGCAGTTCATCCTGGGTGCAGTTGTGAGCCCCTGGTAGCTTCTTGTTATTAGAAGTAAGGCCAGGAGCCCCTAGTAGCGTCCTTGCTCCTAGTAGTAAGGCCAGGAGCCCCTAGTAGCTTCTTGTTACTGGCTGTATAACAAAATAAGCACCAAGTTTATTTAACCAGGCTAACGCCTGGCAGCCGCCGACCCCAGGGAAGTGGATGGCCTAGGTTTAATGAATAATGGGTGAAGAGTTATTTTCGAAAAATCGGGGAACCCAAAAAACAACACGGACCCCCTAGAGACATGATCTGTCACTGCATCACCAAAGTAGGCAGAAGAGAGCACGGCAAATGGGTTAGCATTTTTCTTTGAAAATCTGGGAACCCAAAAAACAACATGGAGCCCCTAGACAACCACAGAACTATCTAGAAAAACCAGAGAAAATCCTGGAAAAGCCCTCGCAAAAGGCATGAAAGGCATGAGTAAAGCGTAGAAAAACCTTAGAAAATCCTAGAAATCCAGCGGAAAACGTTTGCAAATGGAGGAAACTGGGTTAGCATTTTTCTTTGCAAATCTGGGAACCCAAAAAACAACACGGAGCCTTTACAAGTACCTAGAGAAACCAGAGGAAATGCTGGAAAACACCCTCGCAAAAGGTATGAAGGGCATGAGGAAATGTTACAAAAACCTTTGAAAATCCTAGAAATCCAGCGGAAAACGTTACAAAATCTAGGAAAAGCCAAGGGCACTGGCAGAGACCAGGCCGCGACCAGCCCGGGATCTGAGCCCGGGACCATTTAGGGACCGTGCATTTTCCCGCGCGGGTGGGGAGGGTGCCCCAATTGCCAGTAAGAAGCAAATCTTGGACAAATCTTGCACAAATCTTGGCTACTTTTCGTCACTGCAACAAGGTTTTGGAGGGGTAGGGGAGGTATAGCCTTAGCCTTAGCCTTAATCAACAGTCACGCCTGACCCCACGAGTGGGGTCGGCGGATTTTCTTTTTTGCAGCGCGTTCTCAATAATGGCGGGCAACGTTCGAAAGCGAGCTCGTCCGTATGGAGAGGTTATGCGCCTCCCATCCAAGAGTCCAGTCCAACTTGTTTTGTGTCACGAATTCCAGTTTTACATCACTATTTTGGCAGGAGCCCCGAGTCTTGAAGCTTTATGCATGGCTTTATGCTCGGTACTTGTAGGGGAGAGGTCCCATCGGCCATCTGCGTAAGACAGACTGGCGAGACGAACTGGGTTGATCAGGGCGGAAGAGGCGAAGACATCGTTTTCCATATCCCCGGAGGGGAGGACCTCGGTCTCCTCCGCCCTCATGGACCAAGGTGGAGAACATTGGGCCCCTCACCATGGACCAAAGCGATGGGCTTCTGAAAGAGAACCCCCACGCGTGGTCCAATGACTACAATGCCACTCAGCTACGGAGGGGAATGACTTGGCAGGGGATTCATGGGTTTGATATGGATGGACTGGATGGATGATACATTGCTAACATGATGTCGCCCGATAAATGAATCTCCAAGCAGGGAAGGCTTTCTGATCCGTTGGGAAGGGATTTATAGGACGTTATAGGTATTTTGACGGTGTGTGTGTATCTTGAAGACCAAAGCATCATTTGGACACACCCTACTCTCCCAAACACAGAAGTGGAACTGGAAAACGACTGACTATATACTTCCCTTTTCCGAATCCGGGTAGTTCCAAGTTGAATGGTCACTGTCAAGCACCACCCACCACTTTGGGATGATATCCCCCCTGCGAAAGTGAATGAATGCCTGTTATTGCCTGCTGGTGTGGGTGTACCCCCTTTTTCTATCCTTCTTCTTGTTTCTTTTGTAGCGCCCAGCGCCCATCTGCGGGGGAACTCAAGTGTACTGTTTGCCAGGTCATGGTCATCGATAATCCCGTGGGCTCTGGCTTCAGCACCTTGGGATTCGAAGAATATCGAAGAATTGTCACCAAGTTCTTCATCCAGGATGAAGTAAAGATAAACAGGAGTCAATTTTCTATCATGGGAGATAACCACAAGCTACCTTCCAGTATGAGGGCATACAGATTTATCTCAATATGTTTCTCGCAAATGGCCCGGCAGCAGATGTCTAGCATCTCAAGCTTGTAGAGGAAGCTGTTTGAATGCATTCTGCATGATTGAGACATCCCGAAGACTCAATGAGCATTCTTCAGGGATCTCACCGACGCCAATATGCATGGCAGTCCAGAGATCACACTAAGAAACTCGCTTTCTTTCGTGGTATTTTGGGAGAATGGAGTGTTTCTTTCCCTCCTCCTTTAGTCTGTCTGGGGAGAGAAAAGCTGGAATTCTGGCATCTTGGGCTTCAACTGCCCCGTCGACCTCCGTGTCATCCACGGTGACGGTGTGCCGAGCTCCGGGTGTCGGGACCCCAAGGCTACACCGGGAAGAAGTGTGGGGCCCCAGACCGTCGTTCGGACCGTGCCGAGGTCCGGCATGCTGAGGGGGCATGGCGGAAGGGTCCGGGTCAAACTGTGTCAGGGCGGAGGGATGCGGAGGGCCAGGTGTTTGCCTGTGCTCAAGTTGGGATGTGTATTGAAGTTCATGGGGAATGGATAGGGTCTTACATGATGTGTGACATGGACTCAACTCTGTCAACAGTGATTCTGCTTGTTGTTTGAAGTTCACGATTCCTCTCTCAAACGATGCAGGGGCCGGGCAAATTCAATTGGGGGGCCGGCGAACAAGTCGTCATAAGTCGTGTATGTCACCTCAGGAGCTATGTCACCTCAGAGAAGGAGATGCGCG